TATAACATTATAAAATTTGCCAAAATACATTCTACTGTCATGAGTAACTAAAAAAGAACAAAAATAATTTTTAAAAAGTTGAGAAAGGTCTTTGTGATAAGTGGGAAGAAAAATTGAAAGCATTCCCGCTAAAAACTAGAATAAGACAGGGATGCCCTCTTTCACCACTTCTATTCATTATAGTCCTTGAAACTTTAGCCAGAGCAATTAGACAGACGAAAGAAATTAAAGGGATACAAATAGGAAAGCAAGACTCAAACTAGCACTATTTGCCAACAACATGATTCTATGTTTAGAAAATCCAAAAATCTTCACCAGAAAACTTGTAGAATAAATGAATTCAGCTAAGTAGCAGTTAGATATAAAATCAATACCCATAAATCAAATGCATTTCTATACATCAATGATGAATCAACTGAAAGAGAAATTAGGAGAACTAATTTCATTCATAATAGTCTCAAAATAAATAAATAAAATACTTGGAAACCAACCTAAGAAAAGAACTGAAATACCTCTACAATGAAAACTACAGAAGGAAATTGAGGAACGCCTTAAAAGATGGAAAGATCTCCCATGCTCTTGGATAGGCAAAATTAATATTATCAAAATGGCCATTCTACCAGATCTGTTATACAGATTTAATGTAATTCCTATTAAAATTCCAATGGCATTCTTCATAGAACTAGAAAAAGCAATCACGAAATTCATTTGGAAAAACAAGAGATCCAAAATAGCCAAAGCAATCCTTAGCAAGAAGAGTGAAGCAGGAGACATCACAATACCAGATCTTGAACTATACTATAGAGCAACTGTAACAAAAACAGCATGGTATTGGTACCAAAATACACAAGTAGACCGTCGGTAGAGAATAGAGGACACAGAAACAAACCCACATAAATGTGGTTATCTCATACTAAACAAGGTACCAAAAAACATACACTGGAGAAAGCCTACTTAACCGATGGTGCTGGGAAAACTAGAAATCCATATGTAACAAAATGAAATTAAATCTATCTCTTGGGCTGGGGTTATGGCTCAGCGCTCACCTCATACCTGTGAGACCCGGGGTTCAATCCTCAGCACCACGTAAAAATAAATAAGTGAAATTAAAAAAAATAAATTGTGTCCAACTACAACTAAAAAATAATTTTTTTTTTTTTAAATCTGTATCTCTCACCCTGCACAAAAAAAATCAACTCCAAGTGGATCAAAGACTTAGGCACTAGAACCTGTGCTTTATAGAAGAAAAAGTGGGACCAAATCTCTACCATGTCGGCTAGGAACTGACTTCCTTAACCAGACTCCTAAAGCACGAGAAGTAAAATCAAGAATCAATAAAGGGGTGGACTCAAACTAAAAAGCAAAGGAAACAATCAATAATTTAAAGAGAGAGCCTACAGAATGGGAGAAAATCTTTACCACACACACCTCAAAGCACTAATTTCTCAAAAAACACCAAATAATCACCAAAAAAACCCCAAATAAACCAACTAATAAATGTGCTAAGGAACTGAACAGCCACTTCACAAAAGAAAAAAAAATTGATCTACAAACACGAAAAAATATTCACCGTCTCTAGCGATTAGAGAAATGCAAATCAAAACTATTCTAAAATTTCATCTCCCTCTAGTCAGAATGACAATTATCAAGAATACAAACAATAAGTGTTGGTAAGAATGTGGAGGGAAAAAGAAACACTCATTCATTGCTGGTGGGATTGCAAATTGGTGCAATTACTATGGAAAACAGTATGAAAATACCTCAGAAAACTCAGAATGGAACCACCATTTGACACAGTTATCCCACTCCTCAGTGTATACCCAAAGGACTAAAATCAGCATACTACAGTGATGCAGCCACATCAATGTTTGTAGAAGCTCAATTCACAATAGCTAAACTATGGAACCAACCTAGATGCCCTTCAACAGGTAAATGGATAAAGAAAATGTGGTATACACAATAAGAACATTACTCAGCCTTAAAGATGAATGAAATTATGGCTTTTGCAGGTAAGTGGATGGAGTTGGAGAATATCATGCTAAATGAAGTAAGCCAAACCCCAAAAAACCAAAGGCTGAATATTTTCTCTGATAAGCGGATACTGATCCATATTGGGGGGAGGGTAGAAGGACTTTGGATTATGCCGAGGGGAATAAGTGGAGGGGTACCAGGATGGGAAGGACAGTGGAATGAGATGGACACCATTACCCTATATACATGTATGATTACATTACTGGTGTAACTCTGCACCATATTCAGCCAGAGGAAGGAGAAGTTGTGCTCCATTTTTGTACAATGTGTCTAAATGCATTCTACTGGCATGTATAATTAGAACAAATTTTAAAAATATTTTTTTTTAAAAATGGGAAGAAACATTTGCCAATATGACTTTATGCACAAATAAATTATCAAAGTAAGTAGACAGTACATTTTCATCTACAAAAGTACATACTGTGTGGGCTAGCTTTCTTTTAATCCTTTACTAGGTTTCAGACACTGCACTAAAAATTTTACAGGCACTATTTAATCAGAACAGCCTCTGATAATACTTACTATAATTATGTTCATCTTAAAAATAAAAAGGCAGGTTCCAAAATTGTCCATGGTTCAATTTGGAACTGGACAATTAAGGAAGCAAGCTCAGCTCTAACTCCAAATACTGTTTTTTTTAGTTGATCTATACTGCACAAAAGACACAGAAGAGAATGCCAACACGTAGTTCTCTCTCAAAAGGACCTGGTTCTTCCAAATGTTCATCAAATCTTCACATACTCATATATTTTTAAAGAGAAAGATTTTAAAAACCTACAGAATTACTTTTGAAGTTTACAGACAGATTCTGAAAAAAAAGTTGGGCAGCTTACATTTCCTCCTCATCATCTTCTTCATCTACCCACACCGGCTGCTTCTGAGGGGGGAAAGAATCTTTTGCTTCATTCTCCACTTCAGAGTCATCAGAGTCTTCATGCAAGTGAACCTACAGAAGACAAAATACCTTCAAGCACTGGGTTTTTCTCACCCCACACTCACCCATGCCTTAAGTGATTTGAACAATGCTTTGTTTTTATGACCCTCTGATTAAACAATTGGAAAGAATGCTACCAAAACAAATGCAGGGGGGCAGAAGCAGAAAATAAGATCAGGGAATGACACCTCCAGCTAGACAAGCAAAGCAAGCTGGAACAGTTAAGGAAAGCAAGTGAACATGCTGACGGAAAAAGAAAAAGACTATAGCAGGCAAGAACAAAGGGTAAGTTAATAGAGGAAGAAAAGAGCAGGAGAAATGCCCAAAATACAGAAATTACAAGTCCCAAGGCAGATTAGAGTTGAAGATAATAAATATCATTTAAGTCTTATCTCATATTCTTAGGCACATTGCTTGTTTCCTCTTACCCATTCTTAATCCCACCTCTTTAAAAAACGTTATACCAAACCATCAAATCTAAATCTAGACCATAAAAATCCCCTTTAAATTGTTTGAGCTTTCCTCAACCCATGACAGCAATATCCCATTGACTTCTACCTGCATTACTACAGTTCAATATGCTTCAAAGCCCAACAAACCCCACCTCTGGTAGGCTGTTTCTCCTGAATGTAAAACCTTCACCAGATTTAGCACACTTCCAAGACTAGTTCTCTAGACTGCAGCAACTTCTCTCCTAAGCACTCAAAGGAGGTGGCAATCAGTAAATACTTGCTAAGTCAACAGTAATCCTTATCCTTTCTCACTTATCTAAAACTTCAGTCCTTCATACATTTTCCTTTTCGAAGTTTTTTTTTTTTTTCTCTTCAACACTTATCACCAAATACTTGAGTTTTACTTATTTATCACTTCCTTATCTTCTATGCCACAAGCGCCAAGAGGGCAGGGATTTTTGCCAGTTTTGTCTATGCCTGGGAATCTCTTGGACTACAGAATTTTTAAAAAAGTAGAATGCAAATATTACAATCAACCACAGAGCGTTTGCCATCACCTGGAAGAGTATCAAAGACCTACAAATATCTGTTAAATGAATACGTGATCATTTTTAAAAGTTGATGCGCGACATGATCGCGCCGAAAGCCTGTTAAAACGCTTATTCCCAGGCTTGTGCTCACCAACGGATTCCATTATGGAATTGGAACTCCTTGAATCACTGGCAAGGAACCGGGGCAAGTGATGAGACCACCACCGCCAGCCAGACAGACAGCAGAGCTGAGCCGCCCCAAATGATCACGACTACAGTTCGCAAAACAAAAACGTGTAGAGCGCCTGCTGCATACAAGGCGCAGTGGCTCCTCCCGGGCAGAATAAGGCGTGGTCTGTGCCCGCCCAAGCTTGCAGTCCAGCGCGGGAAGGCCGGGTACGCAAAGCGGCGCCCCTCGGCGCCAGCCTTCAGGGCTCCCTCCCTCCCTCCCACCTGAGCGCTCGCCGCCGCAGGTCGCCCAGGCTCCGCCTTCAGAACCTCGCCGCCCGCAGCGCGCCCCGCCTGAGCGCGCTCGGCCCGCGCCGGGGCCTCCCTCACCCGCGGGCCCCGCAGCCGCCGCAGCAGCGCGTCCTCGTCGTCCTCGACATCACCGAAAACCAGCTCTTCCAGGCACCGCTCTACGGCCGGTTTGTCCTCCTCCAGTGTCAGGCGATTCTGCTGCCGGAGCCGTCTCTCCTCCGCCGCCGCGGCGACAGTGATCGAAACGGCTGCAGCGGTCGGCTGGGCCGGCGGTGTCCGCCGAGATGAAGGGGCAGCCTTTTGGGGTGGCCCGCCCGTCCCTGCCCTGGCTTTCTGGTCTGACCTCATTTTGGTCTTCCTGTCCGGCCTCGCGCGGGCTCTCCGTTCGGGTCTCATCCGGCTCCTGCGTTCGGGCGGCATTGTTGGGTTTGAGAAGAAACGCAACCGCTCACGTGGAGCTGTTCTGCGCACGCGCTCCGTCGCCTCGCAGGCTGCCACCGAGGAGTTCCTGGGGGACCGGAAGGAGCTTGCGCAGCCTCTGGCCACGTGACCAATACCATACGTCACTCCCACTCCCCTCGCCAGCCCCTCCCCTTGTGGGAGTTCCTCCGGGAGGGCCAATCTTCCGGGTGTAGGGGGACGCGGCGTGATTGGAGTGGAAATTTTTTCTAACACAACAAATGCAACATATTGAAAGGTGCGCAAGACAGCCAGAGTACAAACGGGGGTGACTGAATGAAACTTCTACTCTTCCTTCAGATCTTTTAACCACTGGACTTCACTCAAACCCCAATTACTTTTACTTCCCTTCGTTTTGGTACGGTCCTTAGAGTACGGAGCCTGCAGAGGGTCCCACGCTGGAGGAGAGAGAGGAGGGTATGTAGGGAAGTGGGCCAATCGGGGCGCGGGTCACGGCGCAGGCGCGCTGGGGAGGGAGGGCTATGCTAATGTTGTTGATATCCTGGGGCCACCCGAGTTAAAGGGGGGAAATCCGGGGGCTGCCGCAGCCGCCACCAGTCTGGGCCCAGCTGGGGGCTCCCTTTAGTCGCCGCCGTCCCGGGGAGAGGCGCCTGCCCCCAGCTCGGGGAGGGGGCGCCGCGGGCTCGGGGAGCACGGACAACCCCTACCCATGAGGCCCTGATGGAAAACACAAAGGATCTGGTGAGAGCCGAGCGCGGCAGCTGCTTTGTGTACCAGGTGGGGGGAACGCCTGCAGCTCCCCGACCCCAGGAACCCCGCAGCTCCCTGACCCCGCTCCCAGGCCTGCTTCTTCATCCCACGCCCCCTCCCCCTACCGACCGTTAAACGATTCAGGGGTTCCCCTCCCCCACCCCCTCAGTCCCGGATTCGTTCGGGTTCTTTCCTCCACACTCTGGGGGAAACAAATCGAGAAGAAAGTTTTTTTTATGCCCCCCACCCCCACCCTACTCTGACTAGGGAGAAGGGCTGAATCCGACACTTACTTTTTTAGGCGTCCAGGGTGGGAGGGTGCAATGGAGACCTCACTTTTTGGGGGAGGTGGGTGTGGGGAAATATAGTTTCGGTGCTTTGCAAAAAAAGGTACCTATCCGTTTGGGGACCGGTGCCGCAAGGTATTTTGCACGTGGAGGTGGAAATATTGAAAGGGGGCGGGGTGGGCACGTGTGGGAAGGAGAGGTGGGAGGGGTGTTTGGGAAGCCGCCACCAAGGCCGCTTATTTAAAAGGGTTCCAGATCGGTGGGCTTCTAAGACTACTGCGTTCTCTTTTGTGAAATAAAAATCCTAACATTTCAGAGTCGGAAGAGACATTAGAGGTCACCCAAAGCAGCCGTCCCCTCTGCAGCCTCTGAAAAGTGGTAGGTAGTTTGGCCTCTACTAAACCCCTACAAACACTGAGTGCTCACTACTGCCCAGGAAAGCCCCTTTCGTTTTTAAGTAATTCTCATCCTTTGCCTACCCTTATTAGACCCTTCAGTCTCATTCATGTCCTGGTTAAGTTGCTCCTTTTTTTAACTTCTCAAATTTTCTCTCACATCCTCCTCACCCACCCACTGCTCATTGGCCTATATTTTGTGTGCCAGGAAAGAACAGCAGGGAAGTGGAGTGACGGGGGGATTTGAGAAAGTGAAGGCCAGCTGAAAACTTTGCTGGGTCAATTTCAAGTGTACTGACTTACATATCTTAAGATGGTTGATACTCTTCTGACAGGAAACTAGAGAATTGAAATCAGGATTTCATGGCCATTTTCTCTCACTAGTGCAACTTTTTAAAGTTAGAAATTTCATCATCTCTGTAGTTCTATCACAAAACACATTTGCTTATTGCCTCACTTTCCCTAAGGATGCCTAAAATTGCATCCTGGGGAAAATACTTAAAGCCCTTAGAAACTTCAGCCTGGTAGAGAATTGATCAGAACTACTCTCCATCATTTTTTTAACAGTTCTGTCTTTTATGAGATTTGAAATTTATGCAGCACTTTAATATTTGCTTAGAGTTTGCAATATTTTTAATGCTCCCTACATTAAAAAGCACCAGTATTTGTCACTCGGTAGTTCGGTTTCAAATATATATTGTTGCTCAGTCTTTTAATGTTCTTCATTTAGTGAGCTCTGTTGCCTCCAGTAGTTTTCTTGGCAAAAGAATCTTGGGGCACGTGTTTTTTTCTTCCTAATATGGTGAAGTGGGAGTCCAAACATAATGTAGAAGTAATGCATCTGGTCTCAAAGACAGCCAATAAATTTTTATCCTAAACTTCCAGGCCCCTGTTTAGAATGTTAGAGCACATTTTTTTCTTTCCTCTCTTATGACTTAGAGACTTGCTTTGCTCTAGTGTGCTTAGGCTGGTTTTTGTTTACCTCAATACCAAAGACTGTTTAGAAAGAAAATAGATTTTTTTTGCACCACATCCTCTGAATAACAAATAGCTTTTATATTTATATAGAACCCATACTCAAGGCTTGTGAATAACTTGTAAATTATAGCAAAATCTGTCTTGAGCAAGTTTCTGTTCATATGTGAAGCCATGTTTTTCAACCATACAGTTTTTAACTTTGTGAACTTGGACATGTAATATTTTCTTAAAAATCTAGTCACTAAAATTTAACATGGAATTGAATACTAGATCATGAAAATATTAATAGAGCAGTATAATTGTGTCTTTAAAGTTGTAATCAATATGGAGTTCCAAGTTGTTTTCCTGCTTACTTTAAATGTGAGCTGTCATGACATAAGTTGACTAACTTTGGAACCATTTGCCCTCTAAACATACTAGACAGGAACAACTGGTTTCACTGCTGTATTTTTTATGACTAGTTATATGTTGACATTATTATCGAAGCCTTTCTGGATAGTCAGGTGCTGCTTGTAGTATTAATTTTGGAAATTAAAATGAAATAACTTATTTTAAAGTATGTTAAAGCATATAATATTGGTCAAATAAACGTAAAATCATAGTTCATGAGTGAAATTGACATATTAACCTCATAAATCTTAAACTATGGGGCTGGGGATATAGCTCAGTGCTTGCCTCACATGCACAAGGCCCTGGGTTCAATCCCTAGCATCACAAAAAATAAATAAACCTACCTTAAACGACCTACTAAGAGCCAAAAATGCTCAGTGATCTCAATGACTACCTTCTAAACTTAAAAGAATCACTATTCTTTGGTGTCTCCTTGTTTCTCACTTTCTCATTTTTAAAATCTTTACTAGATAAGATTTAACCTTTAACACTTAGAGTTCAGAGTAAGACAGTTAATATGTCTCATTAGTCTTAGATTTTCAATTCCAAGAGAGATAAAACAGAACAATAGGGAAAAAAAGTTCCTAAGTAGTTACAATAAGCTTAACTGTGTCTTCCAACAATAGTAGTGTATTAACTATCCCAGACAACTTTTTTTTTTAAGAGAGAGAATTTTTTAATTTTTTTTATTTTTTATTTTTTTTTTTTTTTAGTTTTCGGTGGACACAACAAATTTTATTTTTATGTGGTGCTGAGGATCGAACCCAGCGCCTCCCGCATGCCAGGCGAGCGCGCTACTGCTTGAGCCACATCCCCAGCCCCAACTTTTGATTTTATGTGAAAATAACAGGTTACTTTAGTTCTTTGGTTGGGGGAGGGTACTGGATTGAACCCAGGGGTGCTTAACTACTAATCTACACCCCCAATCCCTTTGTATTTTTTATTTTGAGACAGGGTGTCACTAAGTTGCTTAAGGCCTCACTAAATTGTAGAGGCTGATCTCGAACTTGCAATCCTCCTGCCCCAGCCTCCCAAGTTGCTGGGATTACAGGTGGGTAGTGCCATGCAGTTAAGATCTTTTTTTTTTTTAATGAACATTTTTTAAGGATTTAGTTCCCATAAACTTATAATTTATTTTTTTTCTTTGCTTCAGTCAAGAAAAGGTGCCTAAAGGGGTTGTGGCTCAGCAGTGGAGTACTCGCCTGGCGTGCACGGGGCACTGGGTTCAATCTTCAGCACCACATAAATGTAAAATAAAGATATTGTGTCCATCTAAAACTTAAAAAAATAATTATTAAAAAAAGAAAAGGTGCATGAATAATAATTCCATTTGAACAAACTCTATAAATGTGAGGTAGGATGAAGTGGTGGAGTGAGGGGGCCCTGGAAAAGTAGGTTAGAGTTGTGATTCTGCCACTGTCTAGTTACATGATAGTAGTTGAAGGTCCTGTGTCTCAGTTTTCTCATCCCAGTTGAAAAGTTGATGTATAATCAGTTAGCATTGTCCAGTAGAACTTGGTGCAGTGGTGGAAACATCCTATATTCGTGCTGTCCATATATGACTATTGAGCACTTAAAATGTAGCTAGTAAACCAAAGAACTCAATTTTTTATTGTATTAATCAGTCAATTTCAATAGCCACATGTCTGCCAAATTGAACATGCAGGTATAGAACAGTGTTTTTCAAATATAGCTAGACTTCCCTCTTGGAGGCTTTTGTTAAAAATACATACTCCTCCCCTGGATATAGTAAGGTCTACAGTAGTAAGGTCTGCAGTAACATCTGAGAATTTGTTTTAAATGTATGCTCTAGAGAGCTTTATTTTTGTTTTGTTTTTCATCAGATTAGTTAAAGAAACACTGCATAAGAGATTTCTGAGCACCCTTCTAGTTCTTACTGTGGTGTTGATAACCTAGCATTTAGTATAATATAAGTGACCTCTGAACAAAGTGAGCAAACTGGGCTCTAGCTCTGGCTCTGCCACCTTCTGACCTGTGATCTCAGACAAGTTTCCTAATCTCTTTGAGCTTTCTCCGATTCCTCATCTGAAATGTGGGGTGAGAATCAGCCTTGCTTCCCTTCTGAAGTTTTCTATAAACCGGAATCCCCTCTTCTCCCTTTTCACTGGATTATCTAATTCATACTCTATTCTTATAAAACTGGTTGTATATAAAGCTCATTCATTTATTAAATCAATTGCAGCCACAGTTTGCAGTCTTAGTTGTAAAGTGGGCATAATGAGTCTTAATTTTTTTTTGGATTTCTGATGCTTAGCATAACGATGCGTGTAGCTCCATAAATATTGACTGATATCATCTGTTTATTTACTTTTAGGCTTCAAAACTTTAATTGATTAGTTATAGATTATTTTATATACCAGAGAAATATCCCCTTACTTTACATATATGTATGTAACTCAATTTTTTTTAAATTTTTTAGTTGTAGTTGGGCACAATATCTTTATTTTATTCATTCAATTTTTTTTTTTTTAATATGGTGCTTAGGATCAAACCCAGGGAGGCAAGTGCTCTACTGCTGAGCCACAACTCCAGCCCTGTAACTCAGTAATGTTCTATTGGTTAATGTTCAGTGATTTCGTATCTTAGTACTGGGGATAGATTGAACCCAGGGGCTATCTACCACTGAACTACCTCCCCAGTCCTTGTTATTTTGAGATAGTATCTCACTAAAATAGTTGAATCTGGCCTCAACTTGTGCTTCTCCTGCTATTAAAAGCCGGAGTAGCTGGGGTTAAAGACATGCGCCACCATGCCCAGCAGTGATTACATAGCTTTTGAGCAACCAGCTTCAAATATATTTTTAAAAGATAATCATGCTAGGGATGTTGCATGGTGGTAGAGCATTTGCCTAGCCTGCACAAGAAACTGGGTTTGGTACCCAGAGCTTTCAAAAAAAAAAAAACACCAAGAGAACTATTAGGTTTTTTTCATTAGCCCTGATAATAATGATCTTAAAGACCCTCTAGGCCACCATGTGTTTCATACTTAATTTTGACAAGGTCATCTTATTTTTAATTAGCTTTTCAGGTTCATACTTAAGGATTCATAACTTTCTTCTGAAGAACTGAAAGTGTCCATGTGAACTATTTTATTTTATCATACATCTTCCTGTGTGGTAAGTGGTATTTTCCTTATTTAGAAGAGAGAGAAACTGAGACCCAAGTAATTGTTGCATCCAAAGTCATGATAATGATAAAACCAGAAGTTGGATCCCAAAACAGAAATTTGGAATTATCACTGGCCAAACTGTGCTTTTCATCCAGGTGTGGAATAAGGAAGAGGCCAGCGAGAGCTTAAAAAGCACCCTCACTTCTAAGTCCAGTCATCATAGAATATCTGTTGTGAAGTTTGTGAGCTCATGCATACAATGTTCACATTTAAAGTTTGAGAAAATATACTTGTCAGATGCCATCTCGCGCAATCCTGCCTGGAACATGAATCTTCCTTTTGTCCAGTTATCCACAATTTTATCCACCCATTATTTACTAGCCATCTCAGTTATCAGACTATTAAGGTATTAGAGGGCTTGTGTTAAAATACCTTATGTAGGAGCCTGAAGCCATATTGATCATCTCATCATATAGGCCTTATATCATTACAAGAAAGGTGAGTATAGACTAAGTAGATATTTTGTCAGATTCCATTCATATAACTTCTATTACAGTATATTTCAATTATTCTCTTATTGTTAATCTTACTGTGCCCAATTTATAAATTATTATAGATATTCATAGAAGCTGGTAGAATTCTGGGAGGAGGAGGAGAATTAACTGGAAAAGTACATGAGGGAGATTTCTAGAATGACAGAGAAGTGCTATATCTTGATATGCATTCAAAAATATGCCTCATGTTTTTTTGGGGGGGCCAAGTTACCAGGGATTGAACTCAGGGGCACTCAACCACTGAGCCACATCCCCAGCCCTATTTTGTATTTTATTTAGAGACAGGGCCTCATTGAGTTGCTTAGCACCTCACTTTTGCTGGTGTTGACTTTGAACTTGCGATCCTCCTGTCTTAGCCTCCCAAACTGCTGGGATTATAGACTTGTGCCACCATGCCCAGCATGCCTCAGTTTTGAAAAACTTAACTGTTAAGTAAAAGAGAAATGCAAACAAACTGCAGTTTCTTATAAACAATGATTAAAATACTAAGCAACATAAACTGTACAATATATTTATTGTATAGTGAGAAGAAAATTCATAGCCCTATATTAATGAATATGCTTGTCTCAGAAGCAAAAAGAACCAAAAAAAGCCAAAAGAAAACACACACACACACACACACACACACAAAAAAAAAAGTAAAAAAGAAAAGTAGAAATTAATGAGTTAGGGGCTGGGGTTAAAGCTCAGTGATAGAGTACCTGTCTAACACATGTGAGGCACTAGGTTCAATCCTCAGCACCACATAAAAAATAAATGAATAAACAAAGGTATTGTATCCATCTGCAAATAAAAGAAATTAATGAGTTTACCCAAAAAAAAAAAAACTATACATCCAATTAATGAATCAATCCTGGGCCTTTAGGGGAAAATTTGCAAGACAGATAAACCATTAACTAATTTAAGATGAGAAAAAGAACAATAGATAGACCAAGGGGAATTCTGCCTGGGACATCACATGTTCCCAGTGCTACATGACTACAGAAAATGGAAGAGGAAATTGTGATTATTTTTAGAAATAATACTGATTTCTAAACCTTTGATGGAGGTAATGCAAAGAAATGAAAACTACAGATAATAGTTAAGAATATCACTGTAAAATTCTAACTATTACGCAGTCTCTCGCACCACATTAACTCATTGTGTCCCAGATGTGGAACACCTTTAAAAACTTAAATTGAGCAACAAATATACCATAAGGGTAACTGAAATAATATGTGAATATTATGTTCACAGAATTAAAAACTTGTGACTTAATGAATTGTGTAAAAACATCTTGGTGAAGCTTATACTAGAAATACAAAGATAATTTAGTGTTTGGGAACCTACATAATTTACTATATTAATAGTTCTGAACAGAAAGATTATAGATCTTGAAAAGGCCTGAGGCAAAATTTTAACACCTAACCAAAAGTTTTGAGAAAACAGGAGTGGATAAATACTTCTTTATTTAACATGACTTTATTTTCACAAATAAGCACCTCAGTCCTAAAGCCAGCATTTTAATAAGAAACACAGTAACAAAGTAAGGGTGACTCTTTTCTACACTATTTAGACTAGAACTCTGAGCCCATACATGCAAGGATGGAGAAAACAAGTCAGGCATAATACTGGAAAAAGAAAAAATAAAGTTTCTTTGTTGGTGACATGATTGTTTTTATGAAAAGCCATAGAAAATCAATGGCCAAACTATCTCAAGACAATTTGAGAATCTTAAATAATAAATGTCCATGTAGTGCAGAAATAACCAGTTAAGACAATACAACAACCAGGCATGGTGGTGCACATCTATAATCCAAGCTAATCAGTAATTTGAGGCCGGAGGATCTCAAGCTCGAGGCCAGCCTTGGCAACTTAGTGAGACCCTGTCTCAAAAAAATAAAATGACAAAAAACTAGCTCAGTGGTAGAGTGACCCTGGGTTCAATCCCCAAAACTGCAAAAAAGGAAGGAAAATAGAAAAGGTGGTACCACAAAAAGAAAATCACACTTATAATAGGAACAACAAAATACTTTTAAAATTCTTAAGGATGTGCTTTAATGAGAATTGTTTTAAAAGCTATGTGAAGCTTGGGGTCTGGGGTTGTAGAGCACTTGTTTAGCATGTGTAAGGCACTAAGTTCGATCCTCAGCACCACATAAAAAATAAAGTTATTATGTCCATCTACAACTAAAAAAAAATTTTTTTTTTTTTTTAAATAAAACACTATGTGAACCAAACTATAAAGCATTCCTAAAAGACACAAGTTAAGCCAGGCACGGTGACACACGCCTATAATCCTCCACAAGTTCCAGACCAACCTCAGCAACTCAGTATGGGCCCTATCTCAGATTTTAAAAAGGCGGGAGCTGGGGTTGTTGGCTCGGTGGTTAAGCAACCCTGGGTTCAATCCCCAGTACCAAAAAGAAAACACAAGATAAATTTGAACAAATGGAAAAGCATCCATTGTTCTTGTTTAAGACATCTCAATATCATCTAGTTGTCACATCTTTCTAAGTTAATTGATAAATTTGATTAAATCCCAATATAAATTTTTTGGTATAGAGTTGAACTAGTTAATACAAGAAGTTCATCTGGAAAAAGAAACATGCAAGAATATGGAAACATTAAAAGAGCTCTTTGAAGTGGATCTAGCTCCAGCAGGTATAAAAATATCCTGGAAAGCCTGTAATTATAAAAGCTAGGAAATGGCACGTGACTAGACAAACAAACAAACAAGCCCTGCACCACCTAATCTTTTAGTCAACAGGGAACCACATGTACAATAGTGGTACCATAAGATTATAACGGTGCTGAAATTTTCCTGTTGCTTATGACATTATAGTAGCCACTATAATGTGGTAGCACAATGTACTATGTGTTTGTGTTGATGCTGGTGTAAACAAACCTACTGTATTCTAGTGCTTTAAAAGTATATCACACACAGTTATGTACACTACGTAATGCTTAATAATAAATGCCTGTGACTGGTTTATGTGTTTACTATGCTTTTTATCATTATTTCAAAGTGTTCATGTTATTTTTTTAAGTTCGCTGTTAAACAGTATTCCATGTTATATCAACAGTAGCCTCATAAATCTCATGTTCACTGCATCTTTCCATCATGCCATTTTCTCTTCTACTTGATTTAGTCACATGTTGTTTTGCTCATCGTGGCCCCTAAGCATACAAAATCCATTGCTCATATTGCCACTGTGAGGCCACATGGAGGGACTGACTTGAAAATGAAACAAGTGATTAAGCACTACAAAGGTGGAAAATCAGTGATGGTTATTGCTCGCCAGTCAGGCATGTCCCATTCCTCCATAGCCATGAGCTTGAAGAACAAGAACAAAGAAGGATCTGCTTCATTGAAGGCAGTAAGACTACAATTCAAGAAGGGTCTATGTCTGATGTGCAGGTACTTCTAATGACCTGGATTGAAGACCAAACACAGAAGCATATTCCTCTCAGTACCATGATGGTCATGGCCAAGGCAAAAAGTTGGTGATGATGAAAGAAAAGGCTGGACCTGACCACAGTGTTGAATTTACTACTAGCTTTGAGTGGCTGAAATGATTCAGAAATCATTAGTTCATTGCATTATGTGAAAGTGAATGGTGAGTGCTGATGTGAAAACAGCTGAAGAACTTGTGGAAACTAGGCTGATTGGGGGAAATAATTATTTGTCAGAGCACTCTAACAGCATAGGCTATATAATATAGCCTAATGTGTAGTAGGCATAGTTTCTGGGTTTGTGTAAGTGCATTTTATGTTTAACCAACAGCAGAATCATTCAGTGTTACATTTCTTGAAACATGTTCCTGAAATTAATTGACATGTGGCTATAGTATAAGATCCAGAAGCGGACAAAACCACATAGGGATACCTAATACTTAAAGTGGTATTTCAAACCAGAGGTAAAGGTGGACATTCTAATAAAAGATATTTTAGCAACTACCTAGCTATTTGGTGGTGAGGGGATGGATATTAGGCCCATTTTTCACACCATACACAAGAATAAACTCCAAATGGGTCAGAATCTAAATATAAAACTGTATAAATGCCAGAAGGAAATGTGGGTAAATTTTTCTATATCATGATTTAAGAAATTCTTTTCTAATTGATTCATAATTAAGATGCAATGAAAGACTATACTGGTTGCCCTAGGGATATAGCTCAATGGTAGAGTGCATGCTTCAAATGCATAGGCCCTGCGTTTGATTCTTAGCTTCAAAAAAGAAAAAAATACTGGTAAATTTTAATACATTAAAAAAAATAATTTTAGCCAAAAAAACTTAATGTGCAGAATCATAATTTGCCATAAATACAGAGAAGAGTGAATTTCTGAGTACAAACAACTGAAATAAATCATGACTAAAAACCTTAAGGAAAAAGCACAAAAAGATCAGAACAGACAAATCCCACGTGCGCAAAAGAAGATACAAAAAAAGACAAACTATGCAAAACTGAG